TGGGCACAAAGACAGCAGTTTTGATTCCTTTGCCAATGTTTTCATGACATATATTGAAACAACAAAGCTCAACAACTCTAAGCAAAACTGTCTTTAGAACAACAGTTTGGAAATGCCACATACACGATATCTTTTCCCTATGGGACATGAGTAAACCAGACATCGAAGCCTTCATTGAACAAGCAAGCTTACATCACCCAACTAATGAATTCACGGCCGAAACATTTGACACTGAGACTGCGTTTTTAGACACGGTTGTATACAAAGGCACAGGATTCAAGGTAAAATCTATCCTTGATGCAAAGACACATTTTAAATAAACGGAAAGCTTCTTGCACACACATTTCACCTCGTGTCACCCTCCAAATGTTAAAAAAAGAATTTGTCAAAGGAGAAGCCTTAAGAATCCAACGAAACTAGACTTTTAGCTAGGAGATCCGAACAAATGGAAAATTTTTAGGGGATAAAAATATGCCTATATCTACTGTTTAAATTGGTTTTGAACTATATTCTCGTTGGGTGCCCCCTATCTTTGATAGAAAACCTACTATCAGAAATAAGATTCACAAAAGGGAGTCTAAACTCCTAAAACAAAAGAACAAGGAGGAAAAAGAAATATTGCCATTCGTGACACAATACCAGCCCTTAGTGTCTACTATAAAGGAAGCTTGAATGAAAAAATGGAATCTTATACAAAACCAACTATAACTTCAATAAATTTTTAAAGAACCACCAATCATTTCCTTACAAAAAAGAGGAAAAACGGTTCACAGAGGGTTCCACGCCCGTATAGATGTGCGGCCTGTCAACCTTTGTATTTTCTCGCACAACAGGTTTGTGAGTATTTTTAGCAATAATTCCAGTTGGCTGTGTTTTATATAACAAGTGTGGTCAACTGTCTCGTTAGTAGTTAGTAAAAAATAGGGTGACCCACCCCCTAAGGGTAGCTGAAAATTGCACGACCCATCCCTTGCACAAGGCTCAAAACCTCATGACCCACCCCCTCTCTGCTCCGGCCCAACCCCCTCTATACTTTTTGACCAGTCCCTAAACATTCGTTCAACACAGAAGTTATCGTGGATTCCTCTATTTCAAGCGCGTGGACGCCGCACGCCATCTCTCTGAGTGACAGGAACGACTCGCTTTGACAGTGTTGATATAATCTGTCAAATCTGACCAATCAGAGGGTATACCAGGAGCTGGTATACCGGAACGGGTCGTTTAGAGAAATGATTACGGGCTCCACCGCTCCTTCTCTCCCCAGTTTCCCCCCGTTTTATTTTCGTGTTTGCGCTTTCCCAATTCAGCGGACCCGACTATCTCGGAGCCTGGAACAGGCTACGTTATAATAAGTTCCGGCGATAAAAACTAATTTAAAAACCACGTTTCAAACCCAACAACCGTAAGCGCCATGGTTTCTGGATAATCGACAGATAGTCGCCCTTAATTGTTTCCATAAACTTATTAAAAGCTTTCGACTCTCTACCTCATGAGCTCATCGTTCGTAACTTTAGAGAATATCGTGCTGACGACAAAACCGCAATTATTATCGAAAACTGCTTTTCTGACCGACAACAAAGAGTAAAAATACTGTATCAATACTGGGGGACTTAAAGCAAAAACTACGAAAGGTTCTAGTACGGTGACCGGAAGTAATTTTTTTTTCGCCACCCGTTAATGCCTCAAGTCAGGAAGTTTATCGCGATTATTCCAACTCGCTTACTTTGTAAAAATGTTGGCGAACTCTCTTGAGGTCTGAAGCCGTGCAATGACCCCCACGGCAAGGAAATATAAAAAAAGAGCCATGCATGGGAACATTTAGGTATTGCTTGACTTTTAATGTGTTTTATCGGTCTTATTCACACTTGGTGAGATATCCCTTATGAAATATCGCCTTTCCCGCCAACTGTATTTTGCGTCATTGGCTGTATTTTTCACTTGGGTGTCGTGCTTGACACCGAAATTTGGGGCTCATAATCAAAAATGAGCCTTTAGAAATTTCCAAGGATGACCATAAAAGGATAAAATGTGTATATCTTGCGATTCTGTTTCAAAGTTACTCTGGCGTTCTGGTCTTCTACGTATTGGGGAAGCGCAGTGCGTGCAGTCAATAAGCTTAATTAGCAAATCAACAACTTTGCACATGCATCTTATTGTTTTAGCAACATTTCTTTGCCATCACTGCACGACCACGACGAAAAAATGCCTAATTTCACGTTTTATTATGGACATAAAAAAAAGAAGACACACTTTTTTCCTCTATGAGTTTGCCTACATTTGACAAAATTAGCGACTTGTAATAATCGCGAAAAAGTTCGAAAGAATGCAAATTGACTTTTTAATGGGAAGCGGCGTTTTGACTGTTGTCGCCGTCGTGGTACCTTATACTTGAGGCATTGACGCGTGGCAGGAAAAAAATTACTTCCGGTCACCGCAGCAGACCCTTCTGTAGTCGTTGCTTAGCTGGAGTGACGTCACGAGGGGAATAGCTCAGGGCTCAATCCTCGGCCGTCTGATATTTAATATTTTTGTAAATGACCTATTTTATGTTGTGAAACAGTGCAATCTTTCCAGTTATGCTGACGACACAAAAATCTTCTATGCCCATAGCGACTTTACCGAGGTGGAAAGGACAATCAACTGAGATCTTGCGTTGGTATAGACAAATGGTACGATCTGAACGGTCTTAATAAAAGAAACAATTCAAAATACCAAGCCATTGTCATGGGTAAAACATAAAACAAACCGACTTTTAGGTGTAAAATTACCATCATTCACATAACTTCTCATTTGCAGATGCTTGGCGTCAACATCGACGACCAGTTAAAGTTTGACAACTATGACGTGTCTAAGGTTTCCAGAAAAGTGTCACAACAGATAGCGGTACGGTATTGAATCGTATTGTGTTGTATTTACAGTACCGCTCGCATATGTAATGCCGGTTGCGAAGTTTTACCTGTTAAAGAACCCCTTGTCATGATCATGTTAAGTTTGACCAACATCCGGCGCAAATCCAAAAAAGCTCAATAAATAGGTGCTGCTGAAAAAAGGAGGGGTTAACTTCCCTTTAACTGTGGTGATGAAGCGGTGAGTTTGTTAATCAAAGGAAAATGCATGTTATGCGGCCAACTGAGATGATGAGGAAAAGCGGCTACTACTTATAAAAAGTACTGTTTCAATAACTTGCATTTCGTCAAAGAGAATAGAATTAATTTCGCCGTTCTAACTTTTTTCATTTGCATTTTCAAACGTAGAGCCATATGTTTCTCACGAGAACATGTCAGGGTGAAAACATGAATAAAGGTCCATTTACTCAAGAAAGTTTTCATCTAGCAAAATTTTCCTTGGTAGTGTCAGTGGGAAAACCAGCGGAAAACTTGGCAAGTTTTTTCTCTACGTTGATGGAGAAGAACTTGTCAAATAATTTCCCACTGTATAGGAGCTTGAAATCCATGAAAACTTGACAACAATGAGGAGTGACGTACTTCACAAGAAAAACGAGAAGTTAATTTGTGATTTGCATGGTCCCCTACCACAAGGACAAGATCGCTTCAAGCAATTCGCCACCCGGCCTAGGCTTAAAGGGCTGGATCGACCTTTTCCGAAAATTACGAAGGGAGATGGTAACAGGTTAAACTGAACCATTCATAATAAGCTTAATAAGCAGCTATAAGCCTTCGGTATAGACCAAACGCTTGAAGCCATATGTTTAAATCGAAATTTAACGTATAGCTGGGAGCAGGTTCCTAAACTAGTCCTTTTTGTTTTGTGAAATGGTAGTTTTACTTTTTTACTTTCAGAAACTCTTTAAACCTTGTGGTTGAATATAAATCAGGGGCACCCAACGACTGTTTTCTGTAAAATATCTGTTCGGAGAGGCAAATATTGTCTTGAGTTTTCTATTATTTGAGGAAGGCTAACAATTTCTAGACAATCGTTCCATTCGTGTACAATTTTCGAAGCTTATCTAATAAATTCCCTACAATTTTCTGAAGTTTGATTTTCACACATTTCACTCCCCAGTTTAGGCTTATTTTCTTAGAAAAATGAAACCTCAACGTTTTGGACTCAAAAATGTAATGGAAAGAGGAATCAGAAAAATTCTCACTTTCTTAATACGTTAAATTGCATAATTATAAAATTTTCGGAGAAAATAATACTGAATTCCTCGTAATTTCGAAAAGACTTAAGTTCCTCTAAGATGACCTAACAGATACAAATTTTATAGTACCGCTTAAAATGCATTCTAGATATTTAAAAAAACAAGTCTCATCCTGGATAGCCTAAAAAGCGTTTTTAATGAGTTAGGAGGAAACCTTCGTTGGGTGCCCTCAAGAGCCATAATGTCCCATTATGACCATTATGGCTCTTGGTGCCCCTGATAATTTTTTAGCCCCATTTTTATCGGGACCATTAAGAAACGGGCCCCAGTTTCGATTTTTTTTTAGGTCATAACTGGCTCCGAGGCTGAAAGTAAAAGTCCACAACCTAAAAGTCTTCCAAGCACATCTTTATTGCAACTATATATTCACCGCGATGGTAAAGCAACTACATTTGTTTTCTAACAGTTTCCACCAAATCAACTACAATCATATCATTGTTTTATCATTCCCTTTGCCTAAAGATCCGTCCCTTAACTATCGCTACAAAAAGACAATATAACGCTTAAAGTCCATCTCATTTCTCAGGTTTTCGATTCACAAATTTTCCAGTTTTTTGTTAGGCATAGCCTAGCTTATGCTTGGATCCTGACTTAAGCTCTACACCCACTTGTACAGGGCGCTGTTTATGTTATATTTCTGGTTGTAATGGTTTACCACTGCAAGGTAAGTATGACCTTTGTACTCGAATGACGTCATACCATGCCCTCCATGTGTTGGAATCTCTTGGTACTTGATGAACCGCGCTCCAGAGGCCTGGTACACAACTGACTGTGTGTTTTCTTTCTTACTGTCATCATAGTAATTAGACACACCCAGGTACGTTTGACCATTGATGACAAATGGGTGCCAAGCGACAGCCCCATGAGTAGATAAGGACTGGAACATGACGAACTTGTTGCTATTCCACTTGAAAACGAAGGAGTCGATGTTGCTTTTACTTCCAGAGTAGCGGTTGGCAAAGGCGAGGAACGTGTGAGTGTTAATGTTAAAGGACAAGACATAGAAAGCTCCATAAGTCTGAAGAGACTGCAGTTTGACGAAATGACCTCTTGACCACTTGAACACAGTGGACTGAACAGAATGCTTGTGTTGGGAATTGTAATTATTTGCAAAAGCGATGAATGTGTCACCGTTTATCACAAACGCTGTACATCCGAAGGCACCTTCAGTTGGTATGTCTTGAAATCTGTTAAACTTGCCGCTGCTCCATTTGTAGATAACTGAGGTACTAAGGATGTTGGCTACTGCGAGATAACTTTCCCCAAGTATCTTGAAATAGGTGAAGTGGTTTGCTCCGTTGGTTGATAATTTCAGGAAGTGAACAAACAACTTTCCATTCCATTGATAGATTGTAGAGTCCAGCCGGTGAGTCCCATCTTTACGATTAGCGACAGCAAGAAAATGTTTGCTAGCGATAGAGAAGTACTCGAGGTTAAAAGCTCCTCTTGTTTGCAGGGTCTGGTACAGAGATAGTCTTCCAGTTGATTTGTCCATCTTGTAGATCATGGAACCTGTCTTGTACTTTTTAATGTCCCCAAGATAGTTGGCAAAAGCAAGAAACAAGCTTCCATAAACGGTGAAATGTTCCACATCTACTGCTCCTCGGGTTGGAAGATCTTGAACTTTCTCAAAGAAATGGAATCCAATAGAGCAATCTTCCACAAGAAAAAAATGATTAAAATCTTTGTTATTAAGAAATCACAAGAAAAAAAAACAGCTAAAATAAGCGAGAAGGTACCCGAAATCTCCTTTTACATCTTTCCACTTCTTTATTCTTCTTTAGCTTCTACAGCTAACAGCTGGTTCCTACTAATCACTAATAACCCCTACTCCTACTCCTACTAGCTAACAATCCAAATAGTGGAGCCTTTTATAGCCAAACCTGGTGATGTTTGGGTTTGCTGACAGTGAGAATAAAAGAAGGCTGGCAAACTCAGTGTGGGTAATGTTTTGCTATCTCTGGGCCTAAACGGCTGCGATTGGCAAGAAGCTGCGACCCAATGAAAAACTAACAACTTTGGTTAACGAACCCAAACAGGAACTAATTCAGCAAGACTTAATACCCTAAGTCAGCTCTGAACTCACAAACACGACTTCCAGTATAAAATTCACTTCCGAATAGGCCAAGTCAAAAATATTTCAGAAATGGAAGTAAGTAACTTTGAAAGCCAAGCATAATTTAGCAGCAGCCTTAGGCAGAAAATATCTTTGAATTCTTTGCTAATGTGAAAACATCACTTCGTTATCCTTCGTTCATACGCGCAATACTTCTTTTTGTTGGATTTCCCGCGATAATAGACTGCGCAATCATTTATGCAAAATTTTACCGAGCTTATATTAACTTTTTAGAAGAAACTTAAAAGTTTTTAAAAAGCAGTACATTTCTAAACTAATACCTTATCACCAGCGTTTCCATTTTGTCCTGGTATCCCTGCCTCTCCTTTTTCTCCTGGAAAAGAAAACATCAATCTCAAATCTAGGGATAAAACGGCAAAATAAATATTGCGGTTTAGGAAAATCACTAATAAGATTCTAGCTACAAGTATTGAGGGTGAATAAACCTCTTCTAGTTCGAAAAACACAGAGCGCAAATAACGGGCAGAAGCTGCTGGTAGAGGAATGCGAATCGAGACAAGGGAAACAGTCATTAGGGCCAAAAAATAGCTTTGGAGGTTAAGCAAGTGAAATGAAACGATTTGTAAGGCTGATAAAATTTGTAAGGCTGATAAAATAAAAAATGCTGAATTAATCGTCGAATTAGCTGTACAGCTATATATATGTATATACATGTATATAGAGGTAAGTAATTGATATAAAAGACATAAAAAAATCACGATATTTGGCTAATTACTGCTTCAAATGAGACTCAAGACATTCTTGGTTAAGCTCTAAGTTAAAATTCGATAAGAATAACAAAACAACCAAGGATCGGATCAGCAAACAACGTTTTTGATTCTGTTTGGTCAAGTTTTTTTGAGGGAAATGTCGAACTGTCATTATTTCCCAGAGACCCGACCAAAATAACCAAGCGGCAGGGATTTCCGACTTTTTTCTGAGAGGTTTAGTGCCAAACTGATATTAAGCGACATGGATTAGATATGATTCTTTTTACACAAGTTAAAGGGAAGGATGGGAGGTGCACTCGAGTAAAATTGTTTGGCTTGTGCCGCTAGCTTCCGAGAGCTCTAACCTAATATTTCTAGGTTATTTCTTTGGTCAATTGAGGAGCTCAGTGCAAGAACGACACCTTGATCTTTTTTTGTCATTTTAGAAAGTGCTTCAAAGTTACTAACTTTTTGCATGTCACTTTTGTTATAGCAGACTGACATGTCTCTGAAATTTTTTTCCTATTTTTTGCTTTATATTCCCCATCGCTACAAAGTTAACTGAGTTGTGTGTTTATGTTCAGTTCTTCTTTTTAATCCTTTTAATTTCCAATGAGGCGGTGGTGTTGAATATGCACAACTTCATTATAGTCAAACCATTTAGTGTCATATGATTCCTTTTCTAGGGAGACACGTAACGTTGTGATAAATCGATGACGTAAACAGGCGATTACGAATTTTGTTCTCCTTTTCCGGGCAAATGCTCTACTATTAAATGGAATGGAATGGATGTACAGTCGACTCCCGATAACTCGAACCCTCGCTAACTCGAACCTCGCGCTGACTCGAACTAAAATCGATTTCCCCTGGATTTCCGTCATACATTTACTGTAATTTTACCCTTGTTAACTCGAATCCTCAATAACTCGAACTCCCGCTAACTCGAACCAATTTTCGTTTCCCCTCAGGTCATTTTCTATATAATTTTACCCTCGATAACTCGAACCATGTTTTGAGCCCTTAATAAGTCGGGAAAAAAGCCGTGTACTAGCGTCCGAAACATTAGTTCCAACATTGAATTTTGGATTTCCTATTAAAAATTGTTTTGTACCTTACTCTCGGCTATTTTCTTCGAGCTCCCGATAACTAGAACTTTTTTTCGAAATCCCTTGAAGGTTCGAGTTATCGGGAGTCGACTGTATATCTTGAACACGTGAATCACAATTAATTTTTCGTCGAACACAACTCAACGTGAAATTATCCAATGCAACGTTTTATATAGGGGAAAATACATTATGAAGAATTTTATCAGTCTTGATGTCCCTTTTCAGATTCCCACGTTTAAATGATTACGCGAGTTGAAACAAGCTACAAGTACGAAAGTGCACTTTTACACAGACGTTTTTATGCTGGCTGTCTCGGCCGTGTTTTGCTTAACAACTCCATTCCTAATGGTAGCCTGATAGTGGCCAAGATTAAATTACGAAAAAATTCAAATGTATCTTTGCGAAATCTAAAGAAATAAATACTATCTTATAAAACGTTTGCCAAATGAAAGAGGTTTCATCAGAGATTTGAATTGCTAACACACTGTAGGATCTCTTCTTAAGATTTAAAAGTTAGATTGAGAAATAATCTTGTCATAACACAGTGATAATATGATCTAGGTGTGTAATTCAGTACAGAGAACGTTAGCTCGCCTTTGCTCCAACAGTTCCATCATGTCCGTCGCGGCCATCTCTTCCTCAAGAATGCATTTAAACGTAGGAAAGGCATTAATCCACACATGACAATTTGGGTCGTTTGGTATCACTTGGTTTTGATGTTTATATTTATTTGCATCACTGTTTTTAGCACTTAAGCTATCCTGCGTATAAAATGAGGCTTTTATGACCAGATCATTCAACAAAAACTACAGAATATTCTTTAGAGTTTTCAGTTATGACACCACAAGAAACCAAATAATTGTATGTACTTCTGCAAAAAACAAATTTTCATATTTTTATTACTATTGTGGAATTTGTAACTCGCTGTTCAATAGTAGTTTAATTTCTTCCCAAGTCAGTTTTGCACTCCACGAAAATTGAACACTGCAGTATATTTTTTCCTTCAGTGTTATCTTAAACATGAATCTACGGGCAACTTTTAGATATCTAAACCCAAACAATAGTGCGATGTCTTTGATTGTAACTTCTCTTTTGCAGTTTTTACTTTGCATTAAAAATGCGGATTAGTGTTCGGCCTGAAGGAATTGGCACGTCGATAAATGTAATAGATCACCATTCATTCCATTTTTTCAATCTTTTCTGGCTCTAAGAAGACTACGAAGTGGCTACTGAACATTACATTTGAGTCAGTAACGATTCCTGGAGAACTCACCGTCTCTTCCGCATCCAAGCAGTGGAACAGTTTTACAGTTGTTTTGGCTTCCGGCAGATTTGTTCGCCTGTTTGATTATAATAATTGAATAAAAGAAAGAAGATTTAAGGCAACGTTGCAAAAAATTAGACAACTTTCAGTTCCAGACTACAGAAAATACGGTAAAGGGAATATACGGCGACAAGAGTACCGGCCAGATTTTCGAAAATAAAGTACCCTCCGCTTACATTTTTAGAAGATTTCCTTTCTGACGTTCCGAACGAACCGACCAAGAAAATGGTCAAAGCCAGCAGGAAGATCAATCGAAACATTTTCTACTATTTTTCAGAGGTTCAGAGGCTCAGACGTAAACTGAAGAAAGTGTCAAATGTATAAAGGGACAAGATTTTTGAAACAATGTTAGCATAATTAGGACATGAATAAACGCGATACCATCCTTTGTTCATTCTGTTTTGCGGACGAACTAAATTCATTGTTAAACAGATCTTCCATTCACGCCAGGGTTCAAAATTAAAACTTTACTCTGAACAACCTCAAAAACCTGGTTCGCCTGCTATGTTATTGTGGGTTAAAATCTCTGTCCTTAATCCCCTTTAAATGTCTTCTTATTATTTATCAAATATTATCCTTGAGCAAATGGTTGGCCTCGCATTTACTATTTTTCAATCATATTTTTAAAAGGCACTCATGCAGGAAGTTTGTATATACTATTGAAAGTATTTTGCATTTATGAACAAACAAGCGAAAGTCTCGAACTCAGTCGCGGAGTCTGTGTCGAACTCGGACTGACTTGAAAATAAAAAAATAAATGGCAAACTAAAGTGCCTCTATTGAAAATGATTATTTCAGTCTAGTTTTCGGCAATTTGCAGCTCCTAAACAAATGAACTGTATATGCAATCCATGAAATTCTATTCAAATTGGAACTCATGCTTTGTCCACCTCGATCTGCTTTCAGAAACTTGTTGGAAATTCGATAATCTGTTCTTTGGACTTGAATGAATAAAACTCGGAATTTGATTTAGTACACGGCTAGGCTGAAATGAGAAGTGCGGGGGGTAAAAAGAATCCTAAACTCACGAAGTTTTTGACCGGAAGTAAATTCGCTCGTTGCCATGTGAACGTCCTCCTTACTTTACATACAGTTTCTCATTGTTTCCTGTTATGGCGTCTACACTGTATGCCGTTAACAGAAGAACAAACTGATATTTCGGTATCATGATAATTTTGAATCATGCTGGATCATTATCGTACACCATTTCCACCATCCGAACAACCACTTACTGCCATTGCGAAAAAAAGTTATGGGAAACGAGATTTTGCAAAGGCAGAGGGTCGCAAGAAAGAGAACGGAGAGAGGGATATGTGAGGCCGAACGGGAGGTGGGAGGGCATGTTGGGAGTTGCTGCGCCCGTGTTGGCAGTGGTGTGCAAACAGATGACCACCGCGGTCAAACGTCTAAATCGTTATTTTTGTTTTTTATTGCTGGGATTTCATTTACCAGTTAGAAAAAAATGGGCAAAGATGTATAAATCAGTTAGTCAACATAGCTATCTTTCCATTTTTCTCAAAATCTTGAGCTTTTTTCGCTGAAAACGCTTCGCGCTAAAAGAGAATCATGTTTGAAAATCGCGCCGATAATAACGTCAGCATCGGTTTTCAATCACTTAGAACTTTTTTAGTAAACTTTTAAAAAGTTTCGTAAACTAACAGGATGTTGGTAATACCCTAAACTTTCGATAGTGAAAGTAGCAACCTTAACTTTGAAGTATTTCGCTTAACTTTTGCAAATTTCACTCGTNTGGGAAACGAGATTTTGCAAAGGCAGAGGGTCGCAAGAAAGAGAACGGAGAGAGGGATATGTGAGGCCGAACGGGAGGTGGGAGGGCATGTTGGGAGTTGCTGCGCCCGTGTTGGCAGTGGTGTGCAAACAGATGACCACCGCGGTCAAACGTCTAAATCGTTATTTTTGTTTTTTATTGCTGGGATTTCATTTACCAGTTAGAAAAAAATGGGCAAAGATGTATAAATCAGTTAGTCAACATAGCTATCTTTCCATTTTTCTCAAAATCTTGAGCTTTTTTCGCTGAAAACGCTTCGCGCTAAAAGAGAATCATGTTTGAAAATCGCGCCGATAATAACGTCAGCATCGGTTTTCAATCACTTAGAACTTTTTTAGTAAACTTTTAAAAAGTTTCGTAAACTAACAGGATGTTGGTAATACCCTAAACTTTCGATAGTGAAAGTAGCAACCTTAACTTTGAAGTATTTCGCTTAACTTTTGCAAATTTCACTCGTTTGACCGCTATGAAAAATAGATGCAACAACTCCAAGCAATGTTGGGACCTGCGGTGCATCTTGGGAAGGGTATGACCTAAAAGACTTTGGAGACAATGTGTAATGCGAGTGCGTGGCTTCAACAATGCTGGAAAAGCTGCGCAAACGGATCCAAAATTGTTGCGCTACGCTTGGACGATCACGAAACAAAAGAAATGTTGGGAGATGTTGGCTCAAAAGTTTGACCGGTTTCAAACTTTGCGCACGCGCAACAACATGCAACAAGGTGTACAAACGGACGCAAGATGTATCATCTAACAATGTTGGGAGTTGCATGAGTTGTTGGCCAGGAAAGTTGTGTCCTTTTGCACGCGGTCTTACTTGGCAAAAAAGAAGGAAAAAACGGGTAACTGGCTTAAATAGGCAAGAAGACTCCCCCGAGACTTCCAGCCGATTGTCTGTAATGCCCTGGGGTGCAAAGAGGATACCAGTTTAGCGCGCAGGCAAAAAACAACAAAAAACAAGTGAAAATATTACCCTATGGCGCACTCACTTTGTAGGTAAAAGTAGTCACAGACAAGTTCTCACTTAAACCCCGTCCACACGGACGCAACGTTGTTTACCAACAACTCCCAACATTGAAAGAATGACAGATGGTAAATTCTACGCTCGGTGAAACAAATGTGAAAATGAGCGTGGGACAAAGAAAAAATCTGAGTCCCCGACGGGATTTGAATCTATGACCACCCAAACTCCGGGGTGGGGGGGCGCTCTATCCACTTGAGCTGCGGAGAACTCATGGAGAGCGAGGCCATATACTAGGTCCATATTTGACACGCGTTCTGCATACTGCAAGGATCCGCAAGGTCGATGTCGTACTGTGTAGTGACGACGCGCGGATCCACGCCCTCGTACCGTTAGCGACGTCATCAATTTTAGCGCTCAAAGACAACTTTGTCAGCTAACATTTGTAGGAGCAAGAAATCTTTGAAACCATACCAAGGCTTCAAGTTGCCCTCTTTTTGCAAATTTGAAAATTCTTGATGTCTTAGTATCTACTCTGTCCAAGTAAGTTCTTTCATGTACCTACATCACGACGCTTTACCTATTTCTGTAACTGAAATCTTTCATACTGGAAATCAGATTCATCAATATTCAACCAGATACTCTGACTTTTACCGACCTCAAACCTGTAGAACAAATATTAAAAAAATTTCGATCCTGTTTCAAGGTCCTAGAATATGAAATTCATTACCGAACAACATCAAAAACGACCCAGCTTTTAATATATTCAAGCGTGTGATCAAAACATTTTTAAGGGTCATTTTTATCCTATTTATTATCTTTTTTATTTTACTTAACATTTATTCTGTGTGGCAAAATAATAAAATAAAAATAAAATGAAATGCAAGAACGATTATTAAGGCAAGGAGGCCGGATAAAAAGACAAAAAATATGTAACGTTGAGCCGAAAATGGTGATGAAAATCCTCCACTAACCACCTGCAATTCTTCCTTCTAATCCCGTAAGTCTTGAGTTCCCCAACAAGTTTCCCACACAAATGAGGCCCAGTAAATTCCCAGGACCAAAAAATGGGACAGGAATAAAGAAAAAGAGGGGGAGGAGGGATTCAAATGAAACTGGCAAAAATGCCACGACTTTTTAACCCAAAATATCGAAAATTTACTTTCCGCAAACACCCGTGCTTCCGAAGCCGATATTTTGCATCTGTAATAGAAGGCGTAAAGTGCTCGACCTGTAAACGACGTTCCTGGCAGTTTTGGTTCTTTATAGGTAGATAGTGAGCAGACAACGGCTCGTCTAATCTCAAAACGCCTATATTCCAAAAAAGCTGAGCTGGTTTCGAAAATCTGAGCGCTCGAATACTTAGTCTTGTATCTAATTGGTAATGTGTAAAACGACGGTTATTAAAATAACGCCATTACTAAATGCTTTAGTCGACATTGCTACGTTCATCGATGGGCCAATAAAAACTCGCGTTACTTGCATAAGGAATCACCGTTCAAAGCCTATACATTCTTTAACTTTCCTTTCAGTTTGCTGATTGCTCAACCTGTGCTCATTATAATACATTACGTTGAGAGTAGACAGAAATACAAGCTATGCCACAGATTCATTTTTTGTAGGATTTTCGTTCAAAAAAAGTACACAACTTCTTAGTGTTCCAAGCACATCTTTATTACAACTAATCGCCGCGATAATAAAGCACATTTTGTTTTTTAACATTTTACTATATCAACCAAAAAACTGACGTTATTGTATCAGTCCCATCCTATAAAAACCCCTTTTTAACGGATAGACAGTATTATGCTAAAAGTTCCCGTTATTACTAAGATTAGCAATTGGAACGTTTTAGTTCTTCGCTACACAAAATATCTTCTTTGGTTGGACCTGACCTTATGACCTCCTGCTCTATACCCACTTGTACAGGGCGCTGTTTATGTTGTACTTCTGGCCATTGTAGAAGTTTGCCACTGCAAGGTAAGTATGACCTTTGTACTCAAATGACGTCATACCAAAAGCCCCGTGGGTTGGAATCTCTTGGTACTTGATGAACTGCGCTCCAGAGGCCTGGTACACAACTGACGGAGTTTGGTACTTCAGACTATCACCATGGTGATTAGCCACACCAAGGTAGGTTTGACCGCTGATCACAAATGGACACCATGCGATGGCTCCTCGGGTAGGAATGGACTGGAACAGGACGAACTTCTTACCAGTCCACTTGTAAATGAAAGAATCGATGTTGTACTTACTTCCAGAGTAGTAGTTGGCAAAAGCGAGAAACGTGTGACCGTTGATGTTAAAAGCCTTGACATCGCGCGCTCCGTAAGTCTGAAGAGACTGTAGTTTAACAAAGTGACCTCCTGACCACTTGAACACAGTGGACTGAGCAGAATACTTGTGTTGGGAGTTGTAATGGTTTGCAAAAGAGATGAATGTGTCACCGTTTATCACAAACGCCGTACATCCCAAGGCACCTTCAGTTGATATGTCTTGAAATCTGTTAAACTTACCGCCGCTCCATTTGTAGATAACTGACTTTGTAGAATGGGTACTTCCGTCATGGTAGTTTGTTACTGCGAGATAACTATCCCCATTTACCTTGAAATAGGTGAACTGGCTTGCTCCGTTTGTTGATAATTTCTGAAAGTCGACAAACAGCTTTCCATTCCATTGATAGACTGTAGAGTCCAGCCGGTATGTTCCATCGTAACGATTAGCCACAGCAAGGAAATGTTTGTTAGCAATAGAAAAGTACTCCAGGTCATAAGCTCCTCTTGTCTGCAGGGTCTGGTACAAAGACAATCTTCCAGTTGATTTGTCCATCTTGTAGATTGTGGAACTTGTCTTGTAATTTTTAATGTCCCCATGATGATTGGCAGAAGCAAGAAACAAGCTTCCATCAATGGTGAAATGTTCAACATCTACTGCTCCTTGGGTTGATAGTTCTTGAACTTTCTCAAGAAAGTGGAATCCAATAGAGCAATCTTCCACAAGAAAAAAAAAATGAAAATCTTTGTTATTAAGAAATCAAGAGAAAAAACAACTAGAATAAATCGATAATTAAGTTAGAAAGGTACATGTAACTCATGTGTTGTTTTTGCAATTTTAATGTACATGTGAAGGAGCCACGTATTCATAAAATTAAAATTCGGCGGCTCTTCTTTCCAATGAATCAATGTACAAGTACGTCGTAGACAACAGTAATAAATAATACTCATACCGGCTAAACAGCACTTCGATTTGCTCTAAAAGACAAAATAAAAACAACAAAATACAATTTAATAACAAAGCTTTAATACAATCTCCTAATGTAGTTATTTATGCAAAATATAGGGTTTAACACCCGTACAGTCAACTTTTTCTGACGACAATCTCCATTGATCGAACATCAAGATGTAAAAAGGCTCCCGCTTTCAAGATAACATTGAGATATAAATCTAATGACAAAGACTGCGAGCATTATTTTGTTCCGCTTTCCTTAAACTTGTGGGACATGTGAGTTGACTTGTACCAGTAAAAATCTCGATTGTCACTTGTCATGGCCTTGCCGCTGACTCACGCACCCTCCTTCCTTTCAACATAACAGGAAAAAGAAGAGATCGAGCATGCAACACGTGTATGAAGTCTATGGTAATAAAATTAATAAGGCTTTCGTAAAAAGAATTATATATATATATACTAAAGGTTACAGAGATTGAAAATCTGGAAAATGTTTTATGACAATTACCTTTGTATCACACGTTCCCGAAATTCCTTTTTGTCCTTGTGATCCCTTCTCTCCTTGTGACCCTTTGTCACCACGAGATCCTTTCTCACCCTTTGTGGAGAAATTAAAGGTAATATTAATGATTCTTCATTCGTAGGTCAGGACCACTAAAGAAAATTTAATGAGTCCTTTGTTGCTGTGAGGATAAAGCATTCGCTTTCCTTTTTGTTTTGGACTCTGAAAATTGGTCATTTCTGTCTTCAAAAAGAAGTATAAAGTTACGCTTACTTTAACAGAGTGTAAAGTATTAATGAGTCAAATGAGTCAATGAGTCATAAGTCATGAGTCAATGAGTCAGATCTGAAAAAATAAACGTTTTGGTAGAAACAATTAAATTAAGCATTACTTTGACTTAATTTTTGTCTACTTCCTTCATTGCTGCCTGCACAAGGCCTATTTCTGACATGGAATCTCATGTCAGAAATAGGCCTTGCATGTGCAGGCAGCAATGAAGCAAGTAGAAAAATTAAGTAAATTAAAGTAATGCTTAATTTTATTGTTTCTACTGAAACTTTTATTTTTTCAGATCTGACTCATTGACTCATTGACTCATGACTCATTGACTCATTTGACTCATAAAACATCCGTTCTCACTTTAACACCACCATTACTGTTTTTATCTACTCCTGGTTCTCCTTTCTCCCCCTACAACAGAAATAATAATAAGAACCACACAAGATGATGATGATAAGGGACGGAACATTATTCTACTCAAAAACTATAAATATAAAATAAACGTCCTTCTCCTACTTCTACCTCCCACACAGTTTTTGCTTTTTTATGACCTTTTACTACTGCCCACCCCACCAAAAAAAAAAAAAAAAAAAAAAAAACAAAGAGATGGGAAAAAAAGGAAACAGGAAAAATAAGAGGGGGGGGGGGGGGGGGGGGGGGCAAAGGACAAAAAAAATAGTCGCGCAAGGGAAAATTAAAAGAAAAAAATTCATGCCCGCCAATTAACCCTAAAAAATATTCATGCTACGGTCTAAAAAAAATTCATACAAGGAATTTGATAATGAAAAAAATTCCTGCGGCTCAAATATTCCCCCCCATAACTTTTCTAATGGTCCGTCCCTAATAATACTACTACTACTACTACTACTACTAATAATAATAATAAGTTAATAAAGCTATTAAACTGTAACAAAATAGTGACAATGATGATGATGAAGATAACAGATAAGAATTAAAGATAGTGAAAAATACAAAAAAAAAATGAAACTAATCATCAGATGAAATTAATTTTAAAAGACAGCAGAAAACAGGCCGGGATAGACTAATTTAAAGGCCGAGCCTGCAGATTTTAAGGTTACTTAACAACTTAATCGCTTAACTGTGTAGTCCAAGATAAAAATACACAGTCTTTGGCAGTAAATGGGACTAAAGGTTGTTGGGTGCACCCTGGGGTTAAAACAAGGGTGGAAGCAACACACCCCATAAAGTGCATGCAATGAGGGTGGCAGCGACACACCCTAAACTGAGTAGAGCAATAAGGTTGGCAGCGACACACCCTAGTAATATACAAAATGGAATGAGGGTGGCAGCAACACACCCTAGCAATGAGCAATGCAGTGAGGGTGGCAGCAACTCACCCAGCACGGTAATGGATGGAGCGCATCCCCACCCAGGAGTGAATAAACTAAGATGGGGTGGGGGCCCCACCCGGCCTGCCACCTGGAGGTAAAAGTAGCAGGTGTGCACCCAAGCCAGTAGTCCAGCTTTATTGAATCGAGGGAGGGTGTGGCAGCGAAAAATAAGAAACTAATGCGTAGTAAACTACTATTGGAAAATACAACGCGTGCACGCAAAGTGAACCAAACAAAGGAGCACTCAGCTAGCATTGATGGATATAAGCATAACATAGTATTGATTACAGCTACTAACAATGATAACTTGTTACCACAAAACCTTGTACAAACAACTGAAGGTCAGTTATTGATGTAATCTAAGATAAACAAGGAGCTCTTGAACCAGAGCTGAGTCACGCAATGCCCTTTTATGTACGATAGCAACATATTTGCCACCCAGGGCAAAATAAAAATTAATCATAATCAAAAACAATGGCTGAAGTATGCTCTAATTGGTTAACTCTATTTTACGAGTAAAATGTCGATAAAGACGGTTTGATAGGTAGTTATGATCATTACCATTTATTGGGGTGTGTAAGACATTACATTCATTAAGATAAAAAGAAGCCTAAAATTTTGAATTTGTTTGGTTTACTCAAAATTCAGCTGTTTGATTTTCTTGTGAATTTGCATACACCTTACAGTTAGTAACCCTCATATTTTAAAGCACCTTAACCAAATTGCAACAAACAGTTTTTGAAATTGTTTTAGAATTCAAAATAGCTTTAAAGTCACAAAATTCCTTTGTTCGTTGTTTATTTGAGGCTTTCATTGACTGCAGTACAGCATGACGAGGATTTCTGCTAAATGTCGTCAAATTTTAAGGTAAAACTATTGTCGTTTGTTTACGTTACCTTTGAAAGTCAACAAATCAAAGTCGACAGAAACAGAATAAATTTCCCTAGACAATAACTGACAACTATAAGGGAATGGAATCTTATCCCTTTGATAATAAGAGCAGAAAGGTATCCAAACTTTTGTAATCATCTATGCAACGTTTTTTAAATTAATCTTTTTTCTTATTTCTGTTATTTGATTTTTATTATTTTTTATTTTTCTGCATTATTAATCTCTTAGATGTGAAAGCGTCTAGAAGTATTGAAGTAGACGTAGAAACTTCTAAGGATTCTTCTCAACTTGTCCTCACACTTTTTTCTTTAAAAGCTAATTGGCTGCGTATCTCCTCATCATTAAAATGTTAACATGCATAGTAAATGCATAAAGCATTTCTAGAGAAACTGTCCTCAGCAACCTTAAAGTCAAAATAAGGAACAATGTTATGGGAACTTCTTACTCTAGGAAAAAGTCGTACTTTTTACTGTGAATTTTATGATCTTCACTCTTTTTTTCATTTTTGAGCAAGTTTTTACTTTTTATCAATTAATTACTTTAGTAATGAGGGACCCACTTAAAACTGCCATGGGAAGTTGGGCTCCCCCTATAAAAATCATTATTATTATTTTATTATTATTATTACTATTATCATCATCATCATTATTATTATTTTTAATACAAATGCAAAGAGAATAGCCAGTTTGCTTGTCTTTACTGTGGTGGAGATCAAAATAAAGTTAACTGGTCTGCATGGTTATGGTTTGGATGATTTTGCATCGTTCAACTTAAATTTATATTCAATGACCCTTTATGGAAGTATATGGATCCAGAAACTCAAAACCACTATGTAAAAAGCAGTAACATGTCAATAATACCCTAACGCCGGCATTTCCATCTTTTCCTGGTATCCCTGTTTCTCCTTTTTCTCCCTAACATAGATATTTACAAATAAAAGTGAAACCAAATTTGTGAAAACTATCCCTGAAAAAATAACTACTAATTTTATTTATTTATATTAGCTTAATGGACATACAAGTACTACCACTAAAATGAGTTTATTTACTTATCATAACAAAAAAAATCAAGAATCAACACATAGTGCACCTTTTTTCACCATTTTTGTTAAATAAAAGTAATCAAAACAGCTTCAGCCCAACCATTTAAATTTAACATTTGGTCTGAGTTTATCTATATACACATGTACAGCCGCTTAGTCATTGCGTTAACACTAGAGGTATAACAATAGAATAGGGTATCAAAGGAAGGTTACACTACATGAATCTTAACCAAATCACCTTTGAAACACCCATAACTTCCCATATTAGGAGCCAGCATATTGCCAAGATTAACTGTGAACAAGATGGGTATCATTTCATAAAAAATGAAAGTGAGAAATTACATTAAATATTATTATAAAATAATTAACTGAGGTACAGTGTACGCAATACAATTTATTCCCATTTTTGGATTCTGTTTTAAAAACATGAGCAGGCGCTTTTCATCTTAATTGTGCCAAAAGCAAGTTTTACAACTGAATCAGTGAGGAAAAAAGCAAATCAAATAGTTTTATGTAGCAATTTTTATTAGTCCAATACACAGTGACACAACTTTAAAAAGTTGGCCAACTATTTTAGAGTTGTGTTCCATTCTATAATAAGTCCATAAATATTATTTTTTAGTCATATTTCACCTTTGCAAATTATCTGGTTACAGTGACCCTAAAAGTTGGTTGCTACGCAAGAACATTTAACTAAATTATCAATTTTTTGAAAATAATTTTATATCTTATTCTTCTTTCTCTGGAAAGAGACAAGCCCAAATGTCCAAAAAAAACCTCTTTTTTGGCAACTTGTTATATTCACAGTACAGAGACCATTTTATTGGAGACATACAGCTCCATGGGTCATTTAATTTGAATTTCTGAACTTTTCAAGCAAAAGGAGAAAACAACGTTTGAAGCTTAAAAACGCCAACCTTTATTCCACTGCCATCTCGTCCATCACGGCCATCTTTTCCTGTGTTCAAGACAATAAACAAATTAAAGTAATACAGTGGAACCTCGATATAATGAACCTCAATATAACAAAGTCCAAATGGTATAACAAAATATTTTCTTTACCCCAGTAATAGTAAAATATATGAAAAAAAATTCAATGAAACGAAACCTCATTATAGCGTGTTATATAATTGCCAGTCCCTTGGCCCTTCATTATATCGAGGTTCCACTGCTGGTGCTCCAGCAGTGCCCTAGCCTGCGAGCAAGCTCTCCTATTTGGGCAAGTGAGTTCTCGTGAGACTCGTTTCACTAGCCCAAATAGGAGAGCTTGCTCGCAGGCTAGCAGCGCCGTCAGTGTCCCCTAAAACCTTACTTTTGATCTTGAGCAACTAGGAAATCTTAGCTTTCCCATACAAATCTGATGCTTGGCTCCCTGTTTTGCACAGGTTCAGAGCACTGGACTCCTTACAATTTTTCTTGGAGCACAGCCTTGGATTAGTAATACCGTAAAATACCGAAAATAAGCCCTTCGAAGTATAGGCCCCCCAAACCGGTAACACAAAAAACTCTCCATTAAATCACCCCTCCAAATATAAGCCCCACGGGGGCTTGCACTTGGAAAATTGCCCTCAAATAAAATTAATAGTAAAACAAAGCAAAAATGGTAGATTTATTCCCAGCTATAAGGATAGCCCAATCGATTTTGAAATGCAAATTTCATAGATAAGCCCTTCCAAAAATAAGCCCCTCAAAAAGGGCCTTTGAAAAATATAAGCCCCGGGCCTTATTTTACGGTATTACAAGCCTGCGTAGAACACTGACAACAAGCTACAACAGGGGGGATGAAAAGGAGGAAACACTTGGTTAAGATTTATTTTGAGAATAATTATTACAGTATGCCTGCTAACTCTAACACGCATGAGTTTCATGCCTGGGGACTTATTTATAGACCTTGATTTCACTCAGAGACAAGGACAATTTCTCACACCTGACAAACAAATCGGATGAATTGTTCTTTAACACATCATATATAACTGACTGTAGACATTCATTAGGACTTCCACAAAGAATGTATGGAATGCACAGAACACACTTTGAGCACGTGCATTTGGACCTTATATGACTCGTAATCACGTATATTTTGACCAGCACACAAAGCACAGCACTGGATCAGAGCGAAATCGTTTTGACATTCAATTGTTGTTGCCCACTCTCTGCATTATTACTAGTAATATTTAATAAAATAATAATGTACATCACCATTCACTCCATCGCGCCCATCTTTTCCTACAAATTACCAAAAACAACACTTGATTATACAAGTGACTAATTATTTCTAAATACAGTCCGACCTCTATCAAGTGGCCACCCCCTTAACAGAGGTAATGGCTGCTTAATAGAGGTACAATATAAATTGGATAGGAATGGCAGTAAACATGATTTTATTGACTCTATATAGTAAAATGCTTTTAAAAAGTGAACATATATAAAGATAAATCCAAAATTCATTGCAACAAAACGTCAAGTGCATTTCGGTTGTAACAAAACAGTGGGTCAGCTCTATCTATTGTTAGCTATTGTTATGTTTGTATAGCGCCGGATGTAAAAAGTTTGCACGTGTACGCAGCTTGTGACTTGTTATAGTGGAGATTAAATTGCAGTTCTTGTTTTCTTGTTGTTATCAGTTATCACCTTTATATATCCTCTGTCACCATTTCGCTTGGAAAGATATGCTGGCGGGCCGCTTGGAGGTAAAAAGCCATATAAATAATACACTTGCGACAGCAAAAAGGTGGCTGCGGCCACTTAATAGAGGTGGCCGTTGAATAGAGGTATCAAATACAGCAGTTTTGTAACAAATAAATCCGGACTTTGAAAAGTGGCCTGTTAATGGGGGGTGGCCGCTTAATAGAAGTCGGACTGTAATATAAATGTTGTGTTAATGTAAATGGTAATGAATGAAAATTGTTGCATTTTAATGTGACTCACCATGTTGACCATCCTTTCCATCTTTGCCTTAAATTATTAAAATAAAATACAGCGATTAATTAATGAAACTTACAACTGAACCAAATTACCATCCACACAATCTCGATACAGCAGAACTAGCAAGTTGTTATGCGTATAACCTGAACTGATCCCACTAATGCAATACTTAAATGTACTTTACTGGCCTTAAATGCCTTTGATTTCTAAGTTGCAAATTTTAATCTAAACATACAGCTGTACTTAGAAGATTTATTTTTTCCATATCCGTCGATGATCATTTTGTTGAAAATCAATTTTTAAAATAACTTGTAAACTCACCATCCTTACAGCAACCAGCTTGAGGTACGACTCTACAGCTTTTAGACTTTGCTACAGATCCATTAGCCTGTTAGATTGGGAAATTTAACATACTTTCATGACTTAAAGAAAGACTGCAAACTCTAGATAAATGAAGACACTCTCGACTATAGCATAAACTGAGTTGCAATGGAAACTGAATTTGGAAAGATAAGAAAAAGGAAATGAAAGTGGTTAAAAAAAACAGGAAATTAAAAGGGTGAGGCTGGATATCGGTAAGTTTTTCCTAAAGGCCTGTCTTCAGTGTGAATTTAGAGAAACGTAACCTGCAAGTCAGAGTAACAAGATTGATATATGTTAAGTATACATGGCTTAGGTGATGGGTTTAGTTTGCAGGTAGTTGCAGATGATGGTGTTATGGTCCCGGGGGGGAGGGGGGGGGTACTCCAGATTTCAAGTGACAGGGATGATCGATTAGGGGCAAAAATCAAAACCCAGAAAAATCCCTGGACCAAAATTTAACCCACAAAAAATCCAATGTCGAATTTCCAAGCCATCAAAAATTTCCAGAATGCATTAAATGATACAACTATCATGAATCTTCAATTGTTTTGAATACTGTACCACAGAAAAAACCTACTTAAATCAAGCTACCAAAAAAATACTTGCTAAAATTTTCCTACCTAGAAAATCCTAAAATCGAAAATGTCAAATCCAAAAAAATCCTTTGATTTGATTTGTTACGATCAGGGTTAGCGTCTGAGTTACACTACATTTATTAATTTAACACCTACACAGCTGCAGACCAAACGCTCTGCAGCTTAAGGAAAATGTAGGATTTTCTTTACCACTACACCTTTTACTGTTGTTTGTTGGGAGGGGAAATTTAGCCAAAGCAGTAACTGCTAACAGCAGTGACCTCTCACGCGAAAACGTACACTAACGGCTTCCCGTTTTCGAACGGAAATCCGTTCACAAGCCGTTTCTCATCCGTTCAGAAAAAATTTGCATCCGTTCGAACGGCTTGGGCGATCCGTTTAAAAAGGAAGTCAAGCCGTTCGAACGGCTGTGTCATCCGTTCACAAAAATTGCCCAACCGTTCGAGTGGCTAGTGTACCCGTTCGGAAAAATTTGCATCCGTTCGAGCGGTTTGGTCATCCGTTCACAAAAATCATCCATCCGTTCGAACGGCTTGTGCCATCCGTTCAGAAAAATTGTCTATCCGTTCAAACGGCTGTGGCACCCGTTCAGAAAAATTTGAATCCGTTCGAACGACTTGGTCATCCGTTCAGAAAAATTATCCATACGTTCAAATCTTCAATCAGTTGGAACCGTTCATTCAAACGCATTGGATCATTATTAATTTTACGCTGTTCAGATGGCCTTATGCAGTGCCTTGTGGCCGGTCGTTTGCGAAACGAAGACACGAAATGGTAGTTTGCGAAATCTTGTTCTAGCCGTGCTTCGTTGCTTTCTTGCCGTAACGTAACATTTATCTCGAACCAAGCGTGAAATTCAGAACCGACCGAAAAAAGTCTGACAGAGCGACAAAAATTAATACTGTCTTCTGTAAACAACTGTTTCACCGCAATTGTTGAGTCGAAAACGTGTTCCTCTGATCCCAGGTAAACTACTAAGAAACTATTGGTGGAAGTGGCGATTTAACTCGTTTAATGACCCGCTGCCAGAATCACGGGAAACAGTCTACCAACCGAAGAGAAAAGGGTTTTACCAGTAACACTTTCTGATCTTTCTGATCGCGAATGAAATTTGAGTCACTTGCAAAAACTCGTTGCCTAGCACGTGACCAACATCTACTCAGTCAACTATCTGATGATTTATTTTTCGTGAACCAAAACTCTCGTCATTTTTTAAAAGGCCTTAGATTTTTTTGCAAAGAACAGTGTACAACTATGGCATAGTTCTATGAAGCGACGGTTTGTTGCACGGGTGAGAATCACGACAAGCGTGACATCTCGAAGTTTTCTCTGGCGACGTGACGCTACGCAATTAATTAGTTTCAAAACGGTCTGCTGTGATGCAAGCTTTACTTTCATTCATAATTCGATATTCAAAAATACTTACCGCTGCCGATTTATTCATCGTGATTTGAGCTTTTTAACATTATTTCTATTCACGTTTTCCATTTGTGATGGCCAGAGCAAGTTTTTATTTAAAAGCATCAAAGCGTTTAAGCGCTCCTTTTTTGTTGTTTGTCTAGAACAAGTTTGTTTATATTCTGCGCGGCGAAAAAAACTCACCCGTTCATGACCCGTTCAATTGGAAACAGCCATAATAAAATTATTGTAGAATTTCTGCAACTTGTCCAAATGTAACTCTGCGGCAAATGACCGAAATTTTACTCGTGCCGTTCAGCCGTTCAGGTCTACCGTTCGAAATTTTTTTTAGCCGTTCAGCCGTGATTACCATCCGTTCGAAGTTTTTGACGAGCCGTTCAGCCGTTCAGCCGTTCAGGAACATCCGTTCGAAATTTTTCGCTAGCCGTTCAGCCGTCATACCAATCCGTTCGGAATAAATTATCAGCCGTTCAGCCGTTCGGTTTCATCCGTTTCAAACGGTTTCGTGGGCCGTTTCTTACCCGTTCGACAGCCGTGCGTTTCACCCGTTTAACGGAAAGCCGTTAGTGTACGTTTTCGCGTGAATTGACACAATTTTCGCTCCAAAGGTTTAATTTAAGGTATGTTACTGAAACAAATTTTGCTTTTGTTTTTGTGGTCATGACATTGCAGAATTTTGGGTAAACAGTCCATTATCTCTTACTAGTCTCAAAAGGGTTTTCTTCTCTAAGGGAGGGGCTTGGTTGCTCCTGTGTTCTTTAAGGTCAAATCGATCAGTGTTATCGATAGAAAAAAGATATATATCCCTTTGAGGTCAAACCAGAATTTTAAACTCACTTAACATACTTAGCTACAAGTACTAAATTATCTTACAAGCAAATGACAATAGGTTTTTAAGCTTTAAAACCAGTTTTTTAACTCTTTAATATGACTATTTTAGTAACAAAAAGACAGCATTTTTGACCAGATCCTCCTTTTTGAAGCAGTTTTTGGCTGGTTAACATGGGAATGGCTAAAAAAGAGATTTTTATCACCCAAAGCATATTTTTCTGCCAATTGGATGTAATTAAGCAGCTTTTTGTTTTGAGCATTTCGAGACAAAGTTTGTCTTTTTTTTGGGAGGGGGGGGGAATCTGTTTTCAATATTCTTTCCTCGCATTCTTTTTTTTCCTTTTGTTGTCCTTTTTTACAGCCCATTTTGTTACCCATTTCATTGTCTTTCCTTTGTGTGGAGTTTTGGCTGGCTACCTTTTCAGGAAAAGGGCAAAGAGTAGCAGGCAAATAGCAAAAATTTCCAAATGTTAATTGTTTGTTAGTTTCAGGACCTGAACAATCGATAAAAATTGATTATCAGAAAATCAATCGATCAATTGATGACAATCGATTAATTACTGTTGATTAGCATCGATTGGCATCGGCCAATCGATGATCAATGGATAATCACACTTACGTGGTCACGAATTTCATCGATTGCTATCGATTGGCACTAAATTCATGTCTTAGTATCTTCGGGTATCGCAGGAGTGTACGCGATTGTATATTATTTTTAAACATCAGTAGCAAAGTTTGAGAATTGTTCATCGATGTGGCTCCTTGAAAAACAGCAGAAATAATGAAGACAATTAACATATCTCGTTGACAGTAGTACAAACTTGATCAATTTAACTTCGAATTCACTGCAAAGATTCAACTGATCTGGGACGCAGTCGTCATTCAAACACGATTAAGCTTCAATATTGTTATTTCTTTTTCTTCTTCTTTCTTTACGTCTGTGCAGACGCCCACGTCCACCTCGATGTTCTGTGTGGAATTCCCAAGAGTGATTTACGGAGTAGCAAAAAGTTATTCCAGGTGGGCGTCAAAGGTGACAAGCACAGCAAACAGTGACAAAGCAGTGCAGAAGTGATTCTCGTTCCCAGGAATCATCGCAAGAGACATTCGCCTTTATTTTAAATATAGGTAATTGATTGATATTGCATATTGATAACGATCTATTATGTTAATCGATTATCGATTGATATTAATAATCGATGATAATCAATTTATTTTTATAATCACAAAAATTTTCATGATCGATTGTCCATCGATTATCAATATCAATCGATTAATTGATAACGATTGTCATCGATTGTTATCGATTGCCATCGATTATCGATTTCAACGATTGTTCAGGTCCTGTAGTTTTAGCGTACGTGTAACTCTGTCTGGATTGGTCAAAATTTACTAAATGAGGTACTTGTGGAAAGACCTATCCTTGCTGATTTTGCATTTTTGTTATCGTAAGAGCTTAAATTAAAAGCTGAATGGGTCCATGAAGGAAAATGTTCCTGGTTCAAAAAGGACCAAAAAGCCCAAAACAGTCGTCAAACAGTAAAAACTCACCTGAGCTCACCTTAGACCTCAGGTTTATTGTAAAGAGTAACAACCAATTCTAACAATCAATCTTCTTGAAAGCTTCTCTGATTGACGCTCTGCTTCCCGAGGATTATTTTAGGAGTCGAACAAGGTAGATTTGAGTCAACTTGTAAAACATAACTTTTAAAATCCTGAGCATTTTACCTGGTTGGCAAATGTTCAGCAGGCTTCCCTGTCTCATTGAGGGGAGACTGGCAACGACAGAGCGATGCGTTCGCACACGCGGGTGTACCCGCGGGTGTTATTTTGCGCGTTGTTCACGCGAATTTCTCGAACCCTGGTTGTTCAGACTTCCCGATATAATAATTCAAACCAAACCTAGCTATCTTCCCCTTACCAATCGAACACTTTAATTTTACCCCCCTTTTTTCAAACCCTTGGGTTTTCGTGCATAGAGTGCAACTATTTTCTTTTCTTTCCTTTAATAATCTCATGAAAACTGAAGATAGCCTAGCCCATGAGCAGTATCTAAAGCCCTGAATGCTGTATCCTGTAAAATCGATGATAAATTAAATTTGTATCTCTGGTAACTGAGTTTCTGGTTTGCAACCAAGATATTGAACGGATTATGAATCTAAAAGAACCTAAAAGCGCATAAAAACAGTGTCGCTGAGTCTCGAAAGCTAAGAATAAAACCGCATCTGAATAGTTCCCTTGCCAACAAAGATCAGGGGCATCAAACGAGGGTTTCCTCCAAAATACGATGAAAACACTTTTTAGGCTATCCAGAATACTTTTAGGTCTCTAGAAATCTATTCTAAGTGGTGCTACAAAATTTTTATCTGTTCGGTCATCGTAGGGGAACTTGAGTCTTTTCGAAATTACAAGGGCTTCAGTATGATTTTTCCGAATATTTGAGGTGCAATTTAACGTTTGACGAAAGTGAAAATTTTTCTAATTCCTCTCTCCATTACATTTTAGAATCCGAAAATTTGAGCCTTTTTCTAAGAAAAATAGAATGACCTGGGAAATTGAACTTCAGAAAATCGTAGGGAATTTATATTAGATAAGCTCCGAAAACTGTACATGAATGGAACGTTCATCTAGAAAGTTTTAGCGATCCTCAAGCAAAAGCAAATTATAGGCAATATTTACTTCTCCGAACAGATATTTTACAGAAAACAGTCGCTGGGTGCCCCTGAAAGATTCTCGGGAATAATCTGGGAAAAGTTGAATGCTTTAAAATTTGGTTCGCTGTAAAGTTACCTGATTTGAAGAATTGTTCTGCGAAGTTCCCAAGGAAGCGGCCAAGAAAATGGTCAAAGTCATCAAGAAGAACAGACGAAACATTTTCAGTCTTTCCTAGTGGAACTGACCGTATTCACAAATGGAGCAGTGTATGAATGTAAGCTTAGAGTTCCGGAGTTGAGATCTCTCTCATGAATACAAAACGCGAAAATATACGAGATGGAAGGCCTATTGTTTTTATGTTTTCGTTCGTGACAGATTAGACAAAGCTCATTACAAGCCGCAGGCTCGATTTTCGGGGGATTGCGACGTTCAACGTCGCAATCTTCGCATATTTCTGAAGGGCGAGGCGCCAAGTCTATTGTTTTGAACCAAGGGTTATATTACATAAAGAGACCCTGAGCATATCTTAAAGCTGTCAACAATGTTCGTTTTATTGAGCAATCTTTCATCTTCGACACTTAATCCAGTTTATCTTAAGTGGACACCCAACCTAGTTGCTATTCACGTGCGCTGTCGAAAGCATAATATCAAATAGCCTTCAAAAATTCTGCATTGGAGCTTCACTCTTCGTCTTTAATTTTAGCCGACCCACTCAATAAACAATAAATAAGAAC